ATTTATCTGATACACAGCATTAGAACATAAGGAGGGTTTCCAGTCCCTTTTTATCCAAAGACTATTACATATGCTGACTTCTACCGAACTCTGAAGACTGATCATTTCATGTCTTATAAACATGTAGGTGGTTTTCTTTAGAAATGAGAATGCAGGAAAGATGAGGGGAGGAATGTTTGCAAGAGGCAGAGGGAAGCAAAGGTCGAGGGGAGGGCATATAACCTTGCAGAGGTTGCTTATGAGGAGCAGCTACTGTTACAAGCCCAAAATTAAGGGATGGCTCATTATTTCACTGATCCATATCTCCACTATACAAAGATATATAGTTTAGATGCTAGTGTTATCAGTAGTCCTTCCCAATAACAATAGGTTTTATTATATCTTCAGGTAATAAGTTAAATATGCTTGATAGCCATTTTCCTTTATATATCCTTTATATATATTGAGTGCCATAAGATCACTCCTAGATATAATATTTTGAGGCGGTGTTTTGGCAGTACAGACAAACTTACAATCATATGTGCTGAAACCAAAACTCTTGAGCTGGGGAATCTCTGAAATAAAAGCTCTCATAGGTAGTCTCCAAAAAGGACCACATCCTGAGACAGGATTCTGCAACTTCCTCTTGCAAAGCTGGATAGCATTTGGAAACTGTTTCCAGGCCAACAGCTATTGTATTTTAAACTGAAAAGTCTAAAGAAGGAAAGCATGGGTGTTTACCTGAGTCCTGCGTTGGATAGTGTTGAGCTGGGCAAAGTTCAGGTGTGGTACAATCTATAATAAGGAATTGTTACCTTTGAAGTGGTTGGGGCTACAAGCAGGACAAATGCTGCCTGAAGGTTAATCATAGGATTTCATGTTTTAACACATAGGACTATGAAGTGTGTGAAGACCAAAGTTTGATCTGTTAACCCACATTTAAAAGCCAGACATTGTGGCAGCTTGTAATGACAGTGCTGGAGTGGAGAAGGCCAGGCAGATTGATTCCTGGGGCTCGATGGACAGCCTGCCTAGCTGTGTGGCTCTTTACGGAATCCCTAAGGCCAGTGAGAAACCCTTCTCAAAAGACAAAGTGGATGGCTCTTGAGAAAACCACTGAGGTTGACTTTGCCTTCACATGTTCTCCTGCACACCATACATATACTTTTTTTTTTAATCTTTTACTCTTAAAGAGCTTGTATCTTAGGATGAAATCAAATCTACTGAGAAGTAAATCAAGTGAAAAATAAAGTTGACCTTTAAGGCATTAAAAATATCTCAATCTTTTTATGTTATTCCTTCTGAATTATCCAGAAGACCAAACCATTAAATGTGGTTTCACATATGGAGTACATAAGGAAAATGGTGGGATAATTTGTTTGTTTTATAGACTGCTCCTATTGCCTCATATGAAAAGACATTTTACTGTCTCTTCCTACTTACCATAATATGTTTTAAAGTGTTATGATTATGTTTTAGTATGTAACATTAGATGCTCTGAGTTTATAGCTTAGCACTGTTTAAATATTAATAGGTCTATTAACAACTGTGAGACTGTGGAATAGGCAGTAGTTAATTTTCTTTATTTTTTTTCCTTGTATGATATACAGTGTCAGTTAATGTATGCACAGTTACATAAAATTAAAGTAAAATGAATTATCGTTTATTAAACTGTTGGGTTTCATTATGTTTTTTTTTTTTTTTTAAATCTAAGATTTCCTTATCTAGCCTGGACTCTAATTCTTAGACAGTAACTGGGTATCTAACTCAGCATTTGAGCATGGACATTGATTATCCAGCCTTAGAAGACTCACGGTATAAGGACCCCTCCAGAGACTGCTCCACAATAGATGGGTTCATGTGTCCCAGCTCCTCACTCTTTCTGACCACAGAGTCTACAGCTCGATTTTCATTGCTGATAGCTTCCTGGGACAACTCCCAGAACCCAAGGAAGTGACTTCTTGTTTCCTGTGATTATTTTATCATGAAGAATATTGCACTCGGAGAGGGACAGGAAGAGACTCTTAGGTGGAATACAGGGTGTAGAGTTTCTGCAGCTGCTCTGGGCACTCCACCATCCTGAAAGCATAACAGAGTGGTCACCATTTGGGAAGTGTTGGCCTGCTTTCTTCTCTGATGAGCTGTGATAGTCCAGTTGATAGAATCCTCCATCCCTTAGTTCTCGGGATGGGATAGGAGTCAAGCCAAGGGGTTGAGGACAGAGTTGGTGTCCACCCCCCCACCCTTTCACTGCCAGTAAATTAACTTGTTGATTTCCTGTTAAATTTCTTTTTGATTCTTAACTGATATAGAAACAAAAATTATACATCTTAAAATGTGGTGTCATTTCAGTACATACATACATTGTGAAATGTTTAAGTTTGGTTAGGTGTATCTGTCTACTCAGATGGTAAAACCCTTCATGCTTCTTTCTTTTAGCTGTTTGAATTGAGCATTACACCACTGCTGTCTGCAGTACAGTGGCACACCGGCACTTCTTGCTCACATCTAATTTAACTCAGAAATGCATTATTAAAGCATAAAATACCTGAAAGAAGCAGCTTAGAAAGGCGGGAAAGAGATGGGGAAGGAGTGCCTTGACATTGGGATAGCAGGGGTGTGCAGTGACTGGTCACATCCTATTGAGCTCATACCAGAACTAGGCTGAGCTGTAACTTAAAAGACCACTGCAAGGATAACTCTTTACACCAGCTGCCTGAATTCTTTCTGCCAGCTGCCTGCTTCCACCCCCATGTTAAGGCCCCCAAATAACACTCAGATTTATATTAGTTACCATGCTGCTGGCCAATGACTAGGGTTTCCTACTTGCTAGCTCAGTCTTAATTACCAACCATAACTACTAATCTATATATTTTATAAGAAATTACCTTATTGGACACCAGCAGCAGGCATCTCTTGTCGGGATCACATGGTGGCTCCACAGAGAAGAGAGGAGGAGGAAGAGAGCGATTTCCTGCTTGTCCCTGCTTGTCCTTGCTTATATAAGTCTGAGTGTTTTGTTACTTCCTGTCTGGATCACAAGACTTTTCTTTACTACATTTCCCAGAATCCTCCTTGACGCCTAGTCCCACTTATCTTGCTTCCCTATTGGCCAACAGTACTTTATCAACCAATAAGACAAACATATGCACGGAAGGACTTTCCCCATCAGACCCCTAAGCATTCTTCTTCTAGTCCAGTGCTTCTCAACCTTCCTGATGCTGTGACCCTTTAATTCAGTTCCTGATGTTGCTGTGACTCCCTACCATAAAATTATTTCATTGCTCCTTCATAGCTGTAATCTTGCTACTGTTATGAATTGTAGTATAAATATCTGACAGGCAGGATATCTGTACAGCCACCAATGGGGTTACAACCCACAGGTTGAGAACTGCTGCTCTATCTAGACCCCATCTCTTAAGAGTCCAAACCTCCTAAAATAGAGCTGGAGACAGCACTTCAAACACATGATCCTTTTGGTGACTTCTCCACTCAAACTGTAATAGAATACTGTCTCCACCTTGTCTAGCCTTCCTTCAATCTCCAGCCTTTGGAAACCCCCATACTTGTCTTAGCGTCCCTGGAAACATCTCTTAGATTCTACATACTAGTGCAATCAGGTAGTTCTTTTCTTCTGTACCCATCTTATTTTACTTAATAATTGTCAGTTCCAAAAGACTCCAGCTCTATCAAGGTTGTCACAAATGACAATTTTATTCATGTAAATAATACTCCATTAGAAATGCATAGCACATTTTCTTTTATATCATCAGGCAATAGGTTACTCCCATTTCTTGACTATTGTGAATATTGTGTTGCAGATGTCGCTCTTGTACTGATTTCATTTATTTTGGCTGTATAACTAGAAATAAACTGTTAAATCATTTGGTAGCCAAAGTTTTAATTTTTTGGGAGTTTCAACTCAGTTTTTGATAATGTCTGTACTGATTTACATTACCACCAGCAGTGTGTAAGGGTTCCCTTTCTTCACACCCTCCCTGCCCCCCCCCCACCTTTTCCTTAATAGCCATCCTCACTCACAGTCTACATCTGCCTTATATTTGTATCCCCCTGGTAACTAGTGTTGAGAATTTCTTCATTCACTTGTATATATTGTTTCAAGAAATACCTATTTAAATCTGTTCTTCAAATATTTGTAAAAAGAGTTCTTAATTGGTTAAGATAATAAAAAGCCAGAGTCAGATGTAGAGGGAAATGCTGAGAGAGAAGGAGCAAGCCACAGCACACCTTACTTCCTAAGCGTCTCAGCAGAGAGAGAGAGAGAGCGAGTTCCTGTTTCTCACTGCTTATATCCTGTTTCTGCCCAGCTACATCACTTCCTGTCTGTCTGTACAAATCGTCAAACCTCTATGGTTAGCTAGTTGCAAACTCCATTCTCTGACCCCCCAGACAGGCTTTATTTGTGCAAGAAAGATATCACCACAGATTTTATTTTTATTTGTTAGCTTCTGAGTTCCTCCTGTATTCGGGATAGCAATCCTCTGTCATACACATTCTAAGTTTTTGTAAGTCTCCCATTCTGTTAGAGTTGTAGTTAACTGTTTTTGCTTCATTGGAAAATCTGTTGTTTCATACCAATAAGACTTAACTATACAAAAAAAAAAAAAAGGACCCAATAAACTATATAATGTGTGTTCCTTTCTGAAATCCACATAGTGCTGGAGTAAAGAGGTGAAAAGTGTGTGTGTGTGTGTGTGTGTGTGTGTGTGTGTGTGTGTGTTGGGATTGGGTAGGTTGTTACATGTGCCATATGCAATTGTATAATAATTCTCTAAGATTAAGTTTTAAGCACTGCATATTTAAGCAAATCTTTCTGTTTATACAATCTATGGTTATAATAAGCATTTTAATATTTGATTAGTTTGTAGTATATTAAGTTGAAAGAAAAAATTAACATCTAGTGAAAGTTTCCTTTTTTGTTACATTTCCCTAGTCTAATATAGTAGCAGTATTGAGGCAATTTTTACAGTCATAAATTCAAGTTTCTTTTGTGCTTCTAGATGTAATAAAGGAACAGAACCGAGAGCTGCGAGGCACACAGAGGGCTATAATCAGAGACCGAGCAGCCTTGGAGAAACAAGAAAAACAGCTGGTGAGTAGAACACTAAATTTCAGGAAAACTCTAAAGTTAATTTGGAAATTAGTGTTGAATAATTAGCTAACTCAAAAAAGGCAATGAACAAGAAAGAGATAAATATTTACTTGTAAGAAACAACACTTCATCCTTTGCTGAATTTTTTGCTTTTGTTATTGTATCATTTGTTGATTTTATCAGAATTCTCTTTTCTGTTGATACAAAATCAAATTATTCCATTTTGTGAAAATTGTGAATGACTAGGAGTAAATATTTCTTAAAACAGGTCTTCCTTCTTAATTGACATTAAAAATAATAATAGTGATGGAAAACAAAAGAAAATAATAAATAATAACACCTAGGTGTCTTACATGGTCTTCTAAAGATGATTGTTTCATGAGTTTATTATTAATTAGATGGATATGGTGCATTTTAAAATTTTCTTCATGCTGTTTTTCATATGCATGTTGTCCTGATCTTAAAGCAGCTTTACTGAGCTGTCAGATAAATTGGGATAAATTGTACATATTTAGAGTATTCCAATGATACTTTGTTTTAAGTATATATTCCCTGAAATTGCTATTCTAGAGAGAACAATGAGCACAGGCATTGTTCCCCCAAACTTCTGATGCCTTATGAAGTCCATTCTATCTATCCATCCTTACTGTCTCCCTTTATTCAGTGAGAATAACTCTGGGTCCTTAGATTCATTTGTGTTTCTAAAATTGAATAAAGGTGGAGTCACAATGAAAGCCTTTCTGCCACCACATATGTAATGGGTATCATTCTGTTGTAGAAGTGTCCCCTAATTTATCTGTTTGCTACTCAAGTGGACAATGGGGGGAGCTAGGGGGATGAGCATCTTTTTGAACCTGAAAAAAGAAATATTTTCTAACATTCACAACATTCAATTGTGAGCAACATACTGTGAAACACAGTTAACACTTGTGTAGGCACTTAAGATTGACCTGATAGTTTTATGATTTAATCCCTTTATCATTATGAGATGATATTTTTTACTTCTGGCAATATCTGTTCTTAAATTTATTTGATCTGATACTAATATAGCCACCCCATATTTTCAGACTTTGGTAAATATGATGTATTTTCTACTTTTTAAGACACCTTTGCTCTTCTGTTTAAGATTGGTTTCATGAGGTAGCATATAGTTAGATTTGCTTTCATATATTCCAGAACTTGCTCTTTAATTGGAATACAAGATGGACCATTTGTTTCAATGCAGCTATCTGTATTATTAACTTTACTACCTCAGTCTTTATTTTCTTTGTCATACTATTTTTCTTACTATTTTTAGATTTTCATTTTCTTTTTACTCCTGGGCTGTATGCACGTACTGTTTCATAAACTTGCTTTATGTTCACGAATGAGGGTACCAGTTCTTCCTGTGTGAACATGTGACATAGCCTCTCAGGCATCCTTTCTCTCTATGACTTCATGCCTACTACATATGTTCTTCAGGATGATCACTGAAACACTACTCCTTAATTGTATTCCTTTATCTTTTTTGTCTTCTTAGGAATTAGAAATTAAGAAGATGGCCAAGATTGGTAACAAAGACGCTTGCAGGGTTTTAGCTAAGCAGCTTGTCCATCTACGGAAACAGAAGACAAGAACTTTTGCAGTAAGCTCAAAAGTCACGTCTATGTCCACACAAACAAAAGTGATGAATTCCCAGATGAAGATGGCAGGTGCAATGTCTACCACTGCAAAGGTAACTGGGAGCTTTGGTGTCTTATCAAGGATATATAAATATTAATATTCAAATTAGATTTCAAAGGACTTTCTGGTGTATCTGTGATACAAAAATCTTAGTTATTAATAAAATGAGTTATAGCACTAGATAATCCAAGTAATTGTTTCTGGCTTAGTTATTGGTGTGCTATGAAGTAAGGACATTTACATTTTCCAAAGATCACATGGAGCTTCAAAGTTTATATGGAGTTGACTTAGAATAGTGTTTGTTTTTTCTAATAAATTGTCAGAAATTTAAAGGTTTCTTTTTTATTGTTACTTCTGACTACTTTTGAGTAATAATAATTTTCTCTTGATTCACTTTTGTAAATATTCAGAACCACACGTGAGTATGGAAACTTTTACATTTCAGGAACTTACATTTAATTATATATGAATATAATTATATATATACACAGTGTGTGTGTATATGTGTGTGTGTGTGTGTGTGTGTAGTCAGTAACTGTTGGTTTCAAGGAGGCTGATCATTTATTTCAGTCACTGATAAAAATATATAAGAACAAGTAGTTTTGAGCTCCTCTGTAGTCTTGCAGAAGGCCAGAACTAAAAGTCTGACTTTCGGGGACAAGATCATATGAAGATCACATAGTTAGACTGGTAACTTTGCACCAGTGTTGAGAGGAACATTCTTATAGTTTTCTGTAAATGATAGGCTCAGAAATGGTATGGAATGTGCTTTTGCCACATATGGGTATCTGAATTGGAATTCTTTTTTTTTTTTTTTTTTTTTTTTTTTTTTTTTTTTTTTGGTTTTTCGAGACAGGGTTTCTCTGTGTAGCTTTGGAGCCTATCCTGGCACTCGCTCTGGAGACCAGGCTGGCCTCGAACTCACAGAGATCTGCCTGCCTCTGCCTCCGAGTGCTGTGATTAAAGGTTTGTGCCACCAATGCCCAGCTCTGAATTGGAATTCTTAATTAAATGACTCAAGAATGTATTATTTGGTCAGCAAGTGTTTGTTCAGGTCTCAAGTAGTTCAGATGAAATGGCTAAGCCAGGACCTACATGGAGCTTGTAGTCTCTTTAAGAGGCAAGTTACAGGAGATGTATTGTGTGCAGGGCTCTAAAACTTTGCTCATACTCAGGTAGCATTTCACTGAATAGTGAGACCTTATGCAAATTATTGAGCCATGTGCCCTAGCTCTCCATTTGTAATGGGGGAGGGAAGGAAGTACCACCTCAAGTTTTTGTGTGTTAAATGTCACTGATACAGATTGTTTAAAGGAGAGAGGAACACTTATGAGGGACTAGTGTGTGTGACTGTCCTGTGCTGGGGAGAGGATACACCTTTAAGGAGATAAAAGGTCAGTTTGCTGACAGAGCTGAAGCAGAGACTGAGTCTACCTTCTTAAGTAGATTTCAGTTGTTAGCTTCCACAGACAAGTTTTTGACTTTGACTTAACACTAGGTCAGTCAGAAGATTGTGTTTGCTGTGGCTGCCTTTAGACTTACTCCGTAGATGGCTTTCACAATTGGGTGGCTAACATGACTCTTTATTTCTTAAAGACAATGCAAGCAGTCAACAAGAAGATGGATCCACAGAAGACACTACAAACAATGCAGAATTTCCAGAAGGAAAACATGAAAATGGAAATGACTGAAGAAATGAGTAAGTTTAAGAACCATATAGTGTTCTCCTCTTCTAATTGACCAAATTCGTGTCTCAGCAGGCCCCTGTTCACAGATAATGAAGTCAGAAGTGATTCCAGCATGATAGACATCCATGGAATGACTGGAACTTCTTTCAGTCTCTTAACTGGAGGGGGTATATAGATGTGCTCTGCCTCTGAACACAGAGCGGATAGCAACATGCAAAGGGCTTACACAGGTCCAAGCCAGATGGGGTCCCAGTATTGAGAAGGGAAGTGGCCATGATCTCCCTTGCCCAACCAAGAAGGTATCTAATTGGCAGCCACCTGCAAAGAAAAGTTTAGTTTTCTGCAGTGGAATCTCTGCCTATACAAACTACATTTAAAGGTTGGCCCCAGGCCCACCAGTGGAAGACCAACTCCAAACCAATTCGGTGCTAATTTTGGAGGAGTTTTAGCTCATATTGCTTTGTCTTTTTTTTTTTTTTTTCCTTACTAATCTCTTTGTATAATAGTTTCCAATTTGTGTTTTTGTGTTTGTATATATGTATGTATATGTGATTCTCATGCATTTTCCTTATTTCTTTTTCTGACTCTGCTTATTAGTTTGTTGTATTTTAAGTCTCAATGTAGTTGTCACTCTGGAGACCTGTCCTGTGAGAGGAGTGGTAGTGGAACTCCTGCCTGTACTTTATGTCACAAAATAGCATGGAAGCTTAGTTTCCAAACATACTGTGAAAAGAAACAGTGAAGCGAAAGGAAGTGGGCTCCACCCGGCTATTGTTACAGGTGGCAAGCAAGTTGTTTCTGCCCTGTGTTTTCCTGGAAGAGTGAGCGCACACTCAGCCGTCAGTGCCTGCTTGTTTTCAAAATTGTGACAGTGTAGCATAAACTTTCGCCCTCTCAAAAATAGTTCTGCTATCAGGCTGAGGATGCAGCTCAGGTTCAGAGTGGTTGCCTAACACACCTAAGGCCCCGGTTTGCTTCCCAGCACCAAAAAGTAAAAATAGTTTTGGTATATCACCTATCATCACCAATACAACGTTATTAAACCCTTTATATTCATCAATAGGATTAGTTCAAATTTTCAATTTATTTGAGAATCTTTCTTTGAAATTGAGTATCTTTTACTTTATTGGTTCATTAGATCTCCTGAGATTATGATTTATTTGTGAGACCCCCAAACTTCTTTCCAACATAATGCCCCCAATGTTTATGTTACTAATGATGACTGAGTGACCTTTGTCACACTCTGGTCAGAACTGAAAGGTGTGTGTCAGCATTTTGCCTCATGCTATCCTTTTCTGGCTGCTTGCTGACTGTGTGGCTCTCTCTCAGTTTAACTCCAGTCACTTGCTAGCATTTTAGTTTTCTCATGTAGCAAATAGCACTTAATGAACTTGCTAGATTACCACACTAGCGAATAGCCTCCTATCCCATAATAGACTCTCCTCCTCTTCTTGATTATGGTTATACTATGAGTGTCTACCTCTATAGCTCAAAGAGTTGTTTAATTTCTATTTCGTGCCCTAGAAAAACACAAAAAAGGCTCTCTGAAACCCCCACCTCTTCTTCTGCAGGGTTCCCTGCACCCTGAGGGGAGGAATTTGATGGAGACATCTTGGAGAGCTCAGCTGTGAATGAGATGTCTCCACGTATTGTCTTGCTGTGGGTCTTCTCTGATGATGGCTGAGCAAGACTCCTATCTATATAGCAGAATGTCACTAGGAGTCATTTTATTGTTATTTTCCTATTTATTTGTTTTGTTATGTTTTGTATTTTAAGACAGGGTTTCTCTGTGTAGCTTTGGAGCCTGTCCTAGAATCCACAGAGATCCGCCTGCCTCTACCTCCTTGCTGCCTCTACCTCCTTGGTACTGGGATTAAAGGCATGTGCCACTACTATTGCTTTTTTTTTTTTTTTTTTTTTTTTTTTTTTTTTTTTTTTTTAAATAACACTAGTATTTGGTTTAATCTTCTTTCCCTGAGCTATCTTGTCTCAGGTCTCAGGTCCTTGGTTACCCAAGCAGTCTTGAATATAGGTCCATCTCTCAAAGTGGGCCTTGAGTCAAATCATGTAGGTTGGTCACCACAAGCCTTGTCCCGAATGGCATGTGAAGCTTGCTGACTTCAGAGCATCCTGAGCACAGTCTTGCAGTGGGTTCTTGCTGACCACAGAGTAACCAAACCAAACCAAAAACAAAACCAGCACATACAAAACAGAAAGCAGGTTTTTAGAAAAGATCTTATAGGCAAAATGGCTTGCTCTCAAAAGCTGCTTGGTACTAAGCACAAGAACTGAGATCCTAATTTAAATCTAATTTATGTCTTCATGTATGCTTTTATTACTTGGAAATACTAGCCTATGATATTACATGTTTATTGTTAGCTTTTTACACCTTCTAATTTTACTTTTTGCTGTTTAATATGCCAGATTTCCAATATCATGACAAATATCCAGCTTTGTTATTAATGTCGAGGCTACTAAAAACTAACTGGGAGTCTCACTTTTCTTCCTGCGTTCGGGTTGGATGTAAGATCTATGATTTCAGATATTAGATAGGATTTCTCATGACATCTTTTGTTGAAAGGAACGTTAAGGTTGAAAATGTTTGTACTGTGGTCATTCCCTAGATGGTCCACAACTTTCACATATTATACCCCAGGGAGCCACAGCTTGTAAGCCCATAAAGTGTAGGTTGTGAGCTATTGCAATAGAAAGCCAGAATCTTCTGAGAACTCCCTCTAGATACTATTTCACTAACACATCCTCATCTATAACCAGGGGCCCACTGGCCAGTTTGGTTACAAGATCAAAGTAGGTTATCTGTCTTGTTTTCCTTTTCATTTCCTCTCAGTATTTTGGGTAATTCCTGTCACAGGCCAATTTCCCTCCACCCCTTTTTTGCCCTTTTCAAAATCTCGCCTTCAGTTGACAACCAAATCGAAGAAATTCCTCTTCCTTGTAGTTGTCCCTGTTGCTTCTGTGTGTATCTCTGTCAGGTGGAATTTACTTAGTTCCTTCCTCCAGGTCTGTCTTACATGTTGCTTCCAGGGATGTGTTCTCTTTCCACTGAAAGTTATGGCATGTTTTTCCATATACAATATATTGTATTGTGTTTTCCATTTGAGATAAATCAGAAGTCTTCATGCATTGTCTGTTCCTCCATCGTGTATATGCTGCATGGCAGACATGTGTATCGAGGTTCAAAATAAATATGTAATCCCAGCTTTTCCCAATAACAAAAATATTCTCTGTAACTTAACATGATGCCCTTTTTGGATAGGAAAGGAGAGAAAGATGATGATAGCATTAATAAACTTGCAGGGCTACATTGAATATTATTCTTTGGGCAAATTTAATAGAATATTCAGCCATACATTTTATTAAAATATCCTATGTATATCTTGAATGTTAACATAAGAAATAATGCAAATATTACAAGTGGGTAGGAGGCAGGTAATATCTCCTAGATTTTAATAGACAGTTTGATTCTTGCAAATTTTTCCTTGGTTGGGTTTAACAGCTCAGTGGATAACCATTTGTGCAATCATATTTAAAAACTATGAGCCTGGAGCCATAACTGTCTCATGGGTTTTGTTTATCCAAAATCTAGTTTTATAAATCACTTTACCCTTTTTTTCTGGTGCTGGAACTTGAACTCGGGGCCCTGTGCATAGTGATCACAGTATTGCTGAGGTCTGTTTTATTACAGGATTGCATGTTAAAACTGGCATCATTCCAAATGGCTCAGAAAGTTACTCATCAGTATAACTGATTGACACTAAAACATAAGTTTTATGGTTTGTTGGTTCCCCTAAATTTGCTTTTTAATCATTAAAACCATGTGTGTATAGTTTGATTATAGTTCAAAAGTATACACTTAACTTGTAACACACTTGAAAAAAATCTTTGTTCCCTTTCTTTCCAAGTCAATGACACCCTTGATGACATCTTTGATTGTTCTGATGATGAAGAAGAAAGCCAGGACATTGTGAATCAAGTTCTTGATGAAATCGGAATTGAAATCTCTGGAAAGGTGAGAACAGCTTCTGTTTGTAATGAGAACAGCTTTTGTCTGTAAGTGCTCCCTGTGTGCTTTCCCATGTGTGTCAGCAGAACATGTGTCCTCTGTCCCCATTCAGAAGCTTCCTAACGTTTTTATCTCTCTCATTTTTGTCTGTGATATAGATGGCCAAAGCGCCTTCGGCTGCCAGAAGCTTACCGTCTGCCTCCACCTCAAAGGCTACCATCTCTGATGAAGAGATTGAACGGCAACTCAAGGCTTTGGGGGTAGATTAGATCACCAAGCCATACTATTGTCACTTTCTTACAATTATTTGACCTAACATGGGTCCGGTGTAGATTCCTTTTACAAAACACATTCATTTTGCAAAAATGAAGACCATGAGCGAACACTTGTTTCCTGACCCATGGCTATTTTGAACCTTTTGCCAAAGAATTCCAGTGACGCAAAAATGGGAACAGTTTGGGTGTTGACTAGAACCACCAATGTATGATGATGTGTGCAAACTGAGTTCTTTCTGCATGGCATAGAGATGTCATTACTTAGGGTCGGGGTGTGTTCTAAATCTTTCTACACTGAAATCAGAGTTCTTGTTAAATGTCATTAGGCACCAACTTAAAGAGACTTGTAAAAATATTAAAGGTATAGCATTAATTCTGTATCTGTTGCTTGTCCTTTGTTGATAGTTACGTTAGGACTACAGGCAGTGCAGCTGCCAAATTATTTTTAAATCATCTAAAAAGGAGTGCTATTTAAACATCTGTCTTAAAAACTGTCATGAGCTTTTACTTTTCTTCCATTTTTTCCCCCTTTGGGAGAACATTCTAGTTGGTAAGTTTATTACCTTTCAAAATGTGCTTGGCACCTGCCTTAAATAGCACAAACATATTGTGCACATCTTTAAATTATTTTAACTGGCAAAAAAGAATTACATTTGAAAATAAAATTGAGACTTCGAACAGTTACCCAAGCTGTGTTGTAAAGCTTATAAAAGCGAAGTGGATATAATTAGCAAAATGAAGAAAGAAGACGCTGAATTAATCACATTTTATAGTAATGAAACCACACTTTGGTGTTTCTTCCAAGAACTGAGACTTTCTCCATATGAATTATAACTTAGTCTGTGTTGAATTTTGAATTGTATTAATAAACACATTAAATCCTCTAAATTGAAGCCATTCTTCTAAATGAAGTACTACTACTATGACAATACTTGACTTAGACTTCTAAAGTAAGCGAATTTTTGTTTTGTTTTGTTTTTGGTAAATAAACTACAACTTTGTCAGAAATTGCTGCCTAAAATGCATCATTCTTTTAGCAGTCCTTTGAAAGTGAGTTAGCTATGTCCTATAGATAGCAGGAGAAAGGGACGGCTCCAGAGTTAGAAGTAGAATTTAGAATTAGGTTAGTTTTGAAGAATGATGTTGTAATATATGGATTCTGACACATCCCAACACAGAAACTGGGAACTCCGATCAGTGTAACCTGGCTAATCCTGACGGTTGGACCTTTGGGCTGGTGGATAACAAAGGCAGACACATACTGTGACTTTAGACATGGCACATATAGTGCAAGGAGCAGAAGCTTCACCATGTGCTTCAGAATCCATAAGCATTGTGTGTTCAGAGAGTAGGCCACAGTACTGACTGTCTCAAGTACACAATTCACATTTTCCCTGAAGGGAAGGAGTCCAAACATTGTACTGTATCATCGGGTATTGCACCCAAATCTGTTTTGGATGTACATAGTAATGTTGTCTAACTTTAATTTACTTTCTTGTTTACATGTGGGACCTTTGAGTTTTAAGATTATTTTGTCTTAAAAAAAAAAAAAACTAAATAAAGATTTATTGCTCTTATCCATTTTCTCCTAACTCCTTTACTTTGTTTTTTATTACAGTTAAGACTAGAAATTTTGCATATATGTTGCAGTTTAAACAATAAATTTTGCTATTTTTCTGTAAGGAAGTTTAGATTGCTGTGCTACTTCAGTTTCATAAAACAACAGACAATATCTTTTTTAAGAACTGAAAATTGTTAAGGGATTGGTTTTTGCCAGTGATGCAAGCCCAACAAGTAGTAGTTTCCATGAAACAGACCTGATCATTCCTGTCCTCCAGTCTCCAGGAACTAACCATTTCAGTGTTATGTTTCAGGTATACAAGTATCAAGTACTTGCTTCTATTTTAGTTAAATACAGATACACAGACCTGTGGACCCACAGTGATAGAGAAATTATTCTGACTTGACTGCATTAATAAATGTCTTTCGGGCGCACATTATAGTCATAGTCAATCTGTCAGTAACTTCTCTTTTACTAAAAGTAAGAGTTCATGTTAGTGATTTTTATTGGTTGAGCATAACAGAAATCAATTTTAAAGATCTTTCCTCTGTTTGGAAATAGGATTTGTTTAGCATGGGCTTGCCAGTGGAAAGGGAGCAGAGGAACACAGCAGTGTCTCTGCTAGGAAAAGAGGTCCACCGCGGGTCATGGATGGAGGCCATTTCAGAGGACCAGAGGAATGTCATGTAGTATGGACATGCTGTGGTTTTTCTTATTCCTCAGGAGTCATTGGCCACAGGTCCACAAGGGTGGAGGGAGCAGAAGTGGGAAACAGTTCTGATGGCTGTAGATATGATGAAGACAGCCCTTCTGGAGTGACTTCACTAAAACAAGTCTATGGAGTATACAGGCAGCAGGGGGGAAAACTTCTAGCAGGGAGCTATGTTAAGGGTCGAGCTAGAGATAAATCAGGCATCTGGGCCGAGAGTCATCCTCTAAATAAGGGCAGGTAGAAAGCAGGAATCCTCACTGTAGAGGGAGTCCTACATGTTGCTGAGCTTGGAGAGAGCTGCCAGGGCATGGTAGACTGCAACCTCAAACCGTCAGGGCCTCCCAACAACATGCCACTACAAATGACGATGACACTTGTATTAGGAAGCATAAAATGACCATGTGGCAGGTTGTGTTACACAGAGTAGTTGATGCTTGAAGGGAATATCTGATAGGCTGGGGCTGGGTTAAAGCAGCTCAAAACTGAATTATATGGACCACAGGCTAGCAGTCTGTGGCATTGTTATTTGACTTTTGGTCATTTATATTTTATTCCCCTTTGAATGTCTATAGAAACAGCCTTCGTCTGGTCGTATGCATGATCCCCACAAGCCCGATTTCCACATTGCTGGCCTGATTTCTATGTACCTAATTTAAAATTACTCAGACTTCAGTTTAGCAAGATCTGAAAGAAGACCTATAATTTTCTCCATATTACAAAAAAGTTTCTCGGCAGCAGAAAAAGTTTGAGTTTTCCCATTTTGTCTTTGTAGCAGCTGAGTAAAATGATCCTTTAACCATAATTCCTTTAAAAGAAGTAAAAGAAGCCTTAGCATTGCAAAGTTTAAAGATTATGAAGTAGCAACACATCTTCTATTATCCTTTAGACCTAGAAGGCACACACTTTCCCATCCCAAACTCTGAAAATAATTAAAAAAAAAAAAAATCCTCTCCACCATTAGAGATAGAAGGCACATTGCATGAGTGTTTGTCAGTCATTTCTGTTAGGTAATGTTTAATGTTGCTAAAAGAGATGAACAGATCTTTCCATTTTAATTATTTCCCCACTGGATTCCTGGAGGTATACATTGTGTAGCCCACAGGACATAAAATAAAAAGCCTATGCAGCTTATGATATTTCTCCCCCAGAATCTCAACAGTGAATTGCATTTGTCATTTCCTTAATTACACTTTAGGACTCTACATGACATTGGGCCTCTCTGTTTTAAAGGTTAAAATCTAATAGAATGTTAAATATGGCTAGAAAATAGTCTCAAAATTCATTGATGCAAATGAGTCTGCTGATGGTGTCTAAACTTGAAAAAATATTATAGACACATAGTTAGGGTCTAGTCATACACATTTGTCACATAAATCATATTAAACATTACCACTAGATCCATATTTAAAACATAAAAAAGCAACTGGTCTAGGTTTTTGTTGCATTGAATTTTGCTTCTCTTTAAGGTTTCAAAGTGCAATGTGAGATATTGCATGTGTGCACATGTGCTTTCAATGATACTGCCATTTACAAACTAATACGTGTTTTAAGCAGTTTTTTTTTTTTAAATAACAATTATCCAGAGAAACTTAGATCTGAAAGACATTCACTTGGGATTCTTGAGATGCATCCAACACAGATTAGATGGATAACTTGTTTGGAAACTATCTGTGTGTACTAAACTGAGGTATGCCCTTGGCCCTCTTCTCTTTTTATTTTAGATACAGTCTTACTGAGTTGAATTCACTCTGTAGCCAGGCAAACATTGCATTTGGGATCCACAGTGGCCATGATAGTGGCTGGCATTACAAGCTTGCTTCCACCAGGCCCAGCCAGGTACTGCAGGGGAGGGAATGGAGGAGAGGAGGGAGGGAAAACTGTGGTAGGGATGTAAAATAAATGACTAAATTTAATTAATAAAGAATAAAAGAAAAGTATATATGACATTGGATGGTATAATTTATTTGGCTAGTATGCTTAAATTAAATTCTCACCTAAGTTCAACTCCTGTTACTCAGACTAAATTAGACAGTATTGCCAGCAGATTGACATGCATAGCACCAAGTTTCTATTCTAGATTTGTACCACATTGGTTACTTCTAATTACAAGTTTCAGAGTTCATTTTCAGAATCAACAAGTATCTCCCTTGTTATAATCCTGAGAATTGAAAAGTCAGTATTTCCAACTTTTACTAATAATAGAGCATGTTGTAACCATTGATACCAAAATTGACCCATTGTTAAGGGACCTCAAGTGAGTTTCTACACTGAGACATCAGAAATAACTTAGATTTTTCAAGTTGGCTGGCACCCTTCATATTTGCAGCAGTTGTCCGCTATACAGCCCATCCCTTTAGCCCAGTTTATAGATATCTAATATAAGCAAGCACTTTACTAGTCACCAGGGAAATAACAGAAAGTAAGACGGGTAGTCTTGCCCTGTTAGAGCTTACAGACATAAAGGACAGAGATCAGGAGTCACTAAAGTATATTTTTGTTTCCAATTTCAGTTGTTCTCAGTACAGAACCCAGTATCTGAAACATACTAGGATTACTCTGTCACTGGGCTTAAGCTCCGAGCTTTTACGTTTTCTGTAGCAGAGCAGAATAAAGCTAATGTTTGTGAAAGAATACAGACATCATGCCTAAATGTTCCTACAAATCTTTCAAAAAAAAAAAAAAACATTTCTTTAGGAACCAGTGCTAAACTTCAAAGGCATCAATAGATTCTAACTGAAGATTATTCCTGAAGGCAATGGTAAAATTCTTAGTCACCTCTGGCTCTTCAAACCTTACTCAAAAAATCTTTAGCGCTAACGGAATACTGAATAAAAACAAACATACGTTTTCCTTTTTAGATTCATTTTTACTTTATGTGTATGGGCTTTTTGCCTACATGTATGTTTGGGCATCACATGAATGCCTGATGCCCATGAAGGCTAGATGAGCCACTGGACTCTTGTGGAAATGGTGTCTAACCCAAGTTGTCTGGGAAAACAACAAATGTTCTTAACCACCGAGCCAGCTCTCCAGGCATGTCAATACATTCTCAACTTGTACTTTCCATGGTTAATATTCTATAAATATTTGTCCTTACTTTTTAAAAAATTAAAAATAAAATAAATTGGCTTAGAAAAGGAAATTTGATGCTAAAACTAAAAGATACATATATGCTGCCCCCACCCCATATGGGTGTGTTACGTGAAGAGGAGGAATAGATGAGATACTGGGGGGAGGGTTTCCTAGATGTTAGTGTCTTAGGATGCAAATGAGCACTGAATTCTAAGAACAATTAAATATCTCAGCATAAGTCATTGAGTCTTTAAAAAACTGCCTAAATTACTGATTTAATCTAGTTTTTGAAGCTAATCAAGTGAGGAACTTCCGATTTTGCTCGCAAACTGAAAGGAGTGGAAAATGGCTTTGCAAACGGCTACCACACACAAGTCTTATCGGCACTCGAGATGCTCCTTCGAAATCGAGAATAGACTTTGGTTCAGACTGGTTTTCACCCGTTTCTCTCGCTGCCTTCGGTTGCAAAACCAGACTCTGACTACTTCTTTCTCGAGATTCAGTTCTTCAGCCATCCGCATGATCTCCTGAGAGGAGGGCTTGCTCTGCTGTCCAAAGTGCCTCTCCAGGGCATCCTTAGCTGCAATACTGGGGTGATGCGGGCAGGGTGGAGGAAGAATAGAGGTTGCGATGAAATTGTGTGTCTTTCAATGAAGTTTTCGG